CCATTTAACATTTTCAAAAGGCAAGTGACTAAGACATTTTATTCTGACACCCTATATACTTTATTACTTAAATAAATTATTCTTAAGATAAGTATTCTAAAGATAATTAATTATAGCTAGGATTCGTATAGTTATGCTATAACCCCTGTGTTTATTTTATTCTTAAGGAAGTATAGCTATGCCGCTCAATGAACGCTTATATATTTTTTTACTAGGTGTCACAACATCTACGACACGAATTTTATTGTCTTTCCCAGGATATTCCTTTACAATTCTGGCCATAGGCCATGACAGAGGTGGGGAGTTTGGCTGTCGAAGTATCACTAAGGCTCCTACTTTTACATTAGGCAAACTGTCACACCATTTAGGGCGAGACTGCAAAATATTTAAATAATAATGGTGCCATATTTTCCAAAAATGGCCCTTAACTTTGTTACAAATTTCCCAGAATTTTAACCTACTATTAGCTATATCCACAAAATTTCTTTCAGGGAAAGAGGTTAATGCAGTACCAATAAGATAATGGCCTGGTGTAATAAAGCTAAAGTCATTTACATCATCAGCTGTTACAGGCAACAGTGGTCTAGAATTGAGTACAGCTTCTATTTGACACAAAATTGTATGTATTTAGCTGTTCATAAGGTAATACATTTCCTTGTATGATACGTTTTAAATGAAATTTCATACTTTTGACTGCTTCCTCCGCAAGTCCAGCAAACACGGGCGAGTAACTGGGAACAAAGTGAAAATTTATACCTTGTTGTGCCGCATAATTTTGGACTTGTGTTTGATGCACTTGTGACGACTGCATCTTATATAAGTGAACCAATTCATTCCTTGCCCCTCTGAAATAGCCTCCATTATCACAAAACACATCTGTAGGCAATCCCCTTCGCGCGAATAACCGTTTAAAGCAAGCAAGAAAACATTCAGTGGTTAAATCTGATGCGAGCTCCAGATGTATGGCTTTAGTTACAAAGCAGACAAACACACAGATGGTAACCCTTTGTCTATAAAGCACTTCGTAGTCGAGGGTTTTTTACTTGTACTGGTCCCGCGAAATCAATTCCTATTTTGTGGAATGCTCTACAAGCTGTTACTCTTTCAAGTGGCAAGGAACCCATCAGCTGTTTGGCACAATCGCTTTTTATTCTAAAACAAATTTAACAATTATGAATTTGCTTTTTCACATACGAGTATCTATAACCATTAACAAACCAGTATCTCTGGTTTAAACTTGATAATAATAATTTTGGTGCAGCGTGTAACAATCTTTTATGTTCATGGCTAATAATTAAGTCGTGAATTTCTAATAATTAATACGTGAATTTCTAGGTAGAATGATAGCGTCTTTTCTATCAAAAGATACATCAGAGTTTTCTATCCTATAACCTACTCTTAAGATACCCTCTTTTTCTAGAAAGGGGTGAAGTGGTTTTAAAGAGCCGTTTACATTTTCGTTATTAAATTTTATGGATTTAATTTCTTCTTTGAAATGAATGCTCTGCTCACGTTGTACAATTTTGCGTAAAGCATATTGCAGCTCAAAAGAAGATAATGAAGCACTCGACCTACGCTCGTTTTTATTTTTAAGATTGTGGAAATATCTAAATGTATATGCTAGAACACGTGTCATTTTATTGAGATCCGAAAACCTATCGAGAAAAATATAAAAATCGTCCTTATTTTGCGTAAGGAGGGAAACCTTGGCCGTGACAGCATCCTTTTTCACCTCAGGTAAGTCGGTGCCGGGGGTGGTGGTAAAGTAGAGGTTTTATTAAAATCGTACTCACCGTTTTGTAGGTAGAGCGGACCTCGCCACCACAGCTCACAGTTTACCAGCTCGTCTGGGTCTTTCCCTCCGCTTACGAGGTCAGCTGGATTGTCAGTGGTATGTACATATAGCCAGCGCCACCTCGCTGTCAGATCTCGAATCAACCGTACCCTATTTGCAACGTAAGCGCCAATTGAATAAAACTATTATTTACGGATTTTATCGCGTTTAATTACTTTAATTTATTTTTATTATTATCCCGACGTTTCGGGTGCTTTACAGCGCCCATGGTCACGGGGGGGGACTGAGATGTTTGACGTCCCAATGTCATAGTTAGTCCGGCTACCTTCAGTTTTTTAATATTAATTTTTGGTCCGATTTACGCAAAACGAGCTTATAGTATCATGAAGTCTTGCAGTGGTATGCTTGGGTTTGGGTTTAATTTTGTTGATTATAGGATCCCAAGCAGATGGTAGCACCCAACCATCTTCTCTATTGAAATTTGGATGTTTTTTAATTTCAATAGCCTCGCGTATCATCCTTGGTAGGAATCGGTGTTCTTTTGCGAGAATTTGTGGTTTGTCAAATCTAATGTAATGGTGGGGACGATCTTGAACATGTTCGCAGACTGCAGACTTCCCGGAGCGTCGGTGCTTCACATCAGCTATATGTTCCTTCACGCGGGTTTTTATAGATCTCTTTGTTTGACCTATGTAAGAGAGACCACATTCACAATCTAGATGGTAAAAATTGACTAATCTTCTTCAGCGGCTTGTAGTATGTCTTAATGGACGCTCGCTTCAAGATGTAGCCAATCTTGTCCGTGACTCCTCCAACATATGGTAGTAGAGCAGGTGCGCGCTCGACTGTTGCCGGCTTCACTCGTTCACTGTGACGTAGGCGCGGGACCCGAAGCTTGTTGTCTTGCAATACTTGCTTGACGTGCTGAAGCTCCGCGGCCAGATGTTTTCTGTCACAGATCCCTCGTGCTCTCTGAAACAAAGATTTACCCACGGTAGCTAACTGTGAAGGATGATGGTGAGATTCACCATTTAAATATCGGTTGGTATGGGTCTTTTTCCTATACACAGTGTGACCAATAGTGTTATCAGGATTTCGGATGACTAAAACATCTAGGAAAGCTAAAGAATTATTTGCCTCTAACTCCATTGTGAATTGTATTTTAGAGTTTATGGAGTTAAGGTGGTCTAAAAATGCAGTTACTTTGTCAGATGGTAAAATTGTGAAAGTGTCGTCTACGTACCGCTTATAGAACCTTGGATTTACAGGAGCAGTAAGAAGGGCTTTCTCCTCAAAGTCCTCCATGAATATGTCGGCGACTATGGGAGACACAGGTGAGCCCATCGCCATACCATCTACTTGCTTGTAGAACTCCTTCTTCCACAATAGATAGCCAGATGTGAGGCAATGTTCAAGTAGTATTGCATATTCTTGAGGCATGTTATTTTCTTCCAGCTTCCTAGTTACAATTGAGATGCAGTCCACAATAGGTAGGCATGTAAATAGTGACTGAACATCAAAACTGACCATAGTTTCATTGTTAGCGAGATGTAGGTCTTTTATCTCACTCACAAAATGGTATGAATCCTTTGTGTGTGCTCTGGTATGTCCTCTCAGTGGTGATAGTATTTTTGCTAATAGAGCGAGTGTCTTATGAACTCGGTTGATTAGTTTTGTTAGTAATACCATCGCATTTAGATCCAATCGCGGTATTGTCAATGACTTGTTTTTACAGGGGTTGACTCGAGACTTGGAGCAGAGCAAAAAAAGTGAAGCTTTACCTGATTTTTTGACCACTCTCAGGTATACACAGCAACCATCGTAGTGATAGAGGCATCGGCAAAACTTATGAGTTGAACTGCTGCTGTATTCTCTGGAATCTTTATATTTCTATGAATGTTTATTGGTTTCATTTCGGATATTTTTTTTGCGAAAGAAAGCCACTCCTTTAGTAGATGCTCAGAAGGAACATCATTCCACCCTATATTTTCAGCCCATAATTTTTGCATAAAAGCCTTGGCCCTTAGTATTATGGGGGACACCAAGCCCAGTGGATCAAACAGCTTAGAAATATAGCTCAAAATGTGCCTTTTAGTAGGTTGTTTTTCGTTAAATTGCTCTGGACAAGAAAAAACAAAACAATCTTTTGAAACATTGAGTGTGAGTCCTAATGTTTTCATACAATTATTATTTTTTTGCAATTCTAAGTTGTCAAACTGTTGTTTGTCTGATGAGATATCACTCAAGACTTGCTCGCAGTTTGAAGCCCATTTATGGGTATAAAAGCTCCCTTTACTTAGTAATTCACAAAGCTGCCGTTTAGCGTCAAGAACAACATTTAAATCCGAGTGTGAGTAACAAGCGTCATCCACGTAAGTACTATACTTTAATATATAGGAAGCAAGTGGGTAATCATTTTGATATTTTGTAGCAAGCTCATGTAAACAACGTGTAGCAAGAAAACTTGAACTTTTTTGACCATAGGTAACATATCTAAAACAAATCGGAGAAGGTTAATGTCAATGCAACGAAACATTCGACGTATGTCAGTGGAGCAGGTGTAGTCACCTAAGCGAAACAAAAGCGTGATGTCAAAAAGTTCTTGTTGGACTGGAGAACCATTAACCAAAATATCATTAAGTGACAATTTTTTATCTGTCTGCATGGATGCATCGAAAACCACACGTGTTTTTGTGCTTTTACCATTCTCATTAACAACAGCATGATGCGGCATGAAATACAAAGGGTCCTTTTTAAAATCGAATGAATTGAAATCAATATAGTGTCCGTGTCCTAATTCTACATATTCATTTATGAATCTTTTATACTCGGAAATTAAATTAATATTACTGTGTAATTTCTTTTCCAAGTTTAAAAATCTTTAATATGCAAAATCAAATGAATTTCCAAGAGCATCATTAATTTTATCCAAAAGGTAATTTTAATGGAAGGTCGACTTGAAACTTATTATTTTTATGAATTGTTGTATTTTGAAAAATAGTTTCACATAATTCTTGCTCTGGAGTATGTTCAATAAACCTTTCTGCTTGCCAGAAACGCTGTATAGATTCATTAATATCAGAGTTGCAATTAATACATAATAAAGTCACCTTACTTGTATTATTAAAAATGTTGTTCCTTGGCAAGGCACCCCCTATTACGTGCCCAAATTTAGTATTAATGAAGCGTGGGCTGAGCCTCATGCTCAGTATGCCTTGAAGCAGGTTGCTGAAGAGCTGGCTGTTGCTCTGGGAGCAGCACCTGGAAAAATATGTCGGCTCCAATTAGCATATTTATTTCTGATGGCATGTGAAAATCTGAATCTGCTAAATTTAGTTCTGGAGGGATAACGATGGCTGCCAAGTCAATTTTGTATTGTGGAAGCCTGCATGTGATTTGATCTAGCACATGACAGTTTATTGTCACCTTGTAGGGTGAAGTAAGCGAGAAAACTTTGATGGGGACAGAACATTTTGCAGCATTATTTGTGTTGCTGAACCCTACTATATTTGTATTATTTTTATTTGGAGTGATCCCCAGTACAACTATAACTTTTTTAGTTACTAAGGAAACCTGAGACGCTGAATCCAAAATCGCCTTGATGTGCATTTTTCTTCCGCTCTGAGAATAAAGTTTTAGTTTCACAGTGGGCGACAAGACTCTATTGTTGTCAATATTAGAAATTAAAGTGACAGGTTGCTTGTGAGAAAGTTCATCGTGAAGTAATGTGTTGTGATTCTGTTTGCAAATGTTGCACCGGAAATGATATTTACATTTACCACGGTGATCATTCATCATACATTGCATAATTTACTTTCCTTGCTAAAAAAATTTCTGACTGCAGAGGGCAACAGTTTAAAGCTTTTACAATTGAATAATTTGTGGTCATTAGACTTACAATAAGCACATGAAGGATCTGCAGGTGTAGCGACATTCACCACCGGCTTGTAGTGAGTCTTGATGGCAGTAGTAGGTTCTGCATTCTCCAAGGCCAAGGCTCGGTTCTCCAGGAACAGCAGGAACTCCTTAATAGTAGGATCGGACTCATTGCCACGCTCCAATTGATAAGCTCGTGATGTATAAGTACCTAATTTACGATATAAAATAGTTAGAATCACAGGATCCCATGTTTCAGTGTTCACATCTAAATTTTTTAAAGCAGCTAAACATTGTCTGACATGAGAAACAAAATCACGCAAGTTACTTGGGGTTGATCTGACCAGAGCATTCATATCTAACAATGAATTAATGTGTTCATTTACAATTTTGAACCTATGATTGTACCTATCATTTAACATTCTAAGTGCTTCATCATAGCTTTGAGGGCTCAGGGGTAGATTCTTTATTAGATCAAATGGCTCCTTTTGTAAAAACGAACGAAGATAATATAATTTTTGAACGTTATCAATCGATCTATCCTTGTGGACGATAGAAGTAAAAAGGTTTATAAAAGGGATAAAATCGCTATATTTACCTGTGAATGTTGGGATATGAATAGTAGGTAACTTTGTTTTATAAACTGTATTAGCCTCTGCATTTGGCGTTGACTTGCCTTTTATGGCTTCGTTAAGCACGGTTAATATGTGAAAGTACTTGGATTCACAATCGGCGACATCTTTAGAGTCATTTTTATCATAAAAAAAGAATCTCCTTATCGGCGGAGTATGTCGTACCGGCGGTTATATATGCTCACTGCTAAACACAAAGAATCTGCCTAGGGGCCGGTGACCTCGATGCCTCACGGAATCAGCGGACTCAACGATCGGCGGAGTATGTCGTACCGGCGGTTGTATGTGCTCACTGCTAAACACAAACAACGCACACCTAGGAGATCCTTGATCTTCTTTCAACCGACAGCGCCATCTAGTATCGAATTAAAGAACTAAACTTTCTAGAAGCCCTACACTCGAACTTTCGGCGCCCGGTCGGTTGGCGCGCGTAATTACTTGAATATTCTGGATGTTTCGGAGAAAATGTGTATTTAAAGGCGCTGCAATACGCGATCGGGGAACTATTGAATTTGGCGAGAAAAGCGAAGCTTCGGTGCGAAATAAAGTGAATCAGTGTGATTAATTGGTGTAAAGAAAATTAAAGTGTAAATTTTGGTAATTCAATCGGCAGTTTTTACTGTCGCGAAACTACAAGCTCGTAACAGTAATACCGATTCATTCATAACCACATATAAGAACTATTCATTTCCGTTCAATAAATATTACTGAGGCTTACTAAGAACTGTTTCTACCACAGTTAAGTAATAGTTAAGGGTGAAAGCGTGACAGGTGGTGATAGTATTTCTGATCCATACTTATAATCAGCAACGCGGGGCATCAACGCATTACTTAATATCATCTGCGAAATTATCGCCTATTCTGTGAATTACAATGCACCAAAACGTTTGAAGAAAATCAGCTGGTGAATTTTATGTTTTTCATCGCTCTCTTCCCGGCTCTGCGTGGAAAAATACAGATCCATACATTTTTTATCTTAATTTTGGTAAAAAGACATAATAATCCAGATATTCTGACCTTCTGTGTTCGTCCGTTCTACCGTCGTCCGTCTTGTGGAATCACGGTGGCGCCACCGAGCTGAATTTAATTTTGCAACATATTCAATTTTCCCACGGGAATGAGATGTTTTTCCGCGGTTCCAGTAGCCTATGTCACTCTACAGCCACCGAACTATTCCCATACCAAAATTCATGCCATGCCGACGCTCTGTTGCGACGTGAAAGAAGGACAAACGTTTGCAACATATTCTATTTTCCCACGGGAATGAGATGTTTTTCCGCGGAAAAAAGTAGCTTATGTCATTCTACAGCCACCGAACTATCCCCATACCAGACGTGAAAGAAGGACAAACAAACAAACAAACACACTTTCACATTTATAATATTAGTATGGAGTATGTATTTTAAATTTAGAATGAATCTTTAGGACCCATCTGATTTAGGAATAAAGCCCCTTTTATTGCCCCTATTTGTTCCAATTCTCTAATACATGTATTAATGATAAGCTTTTCTCATTAATGAGATTGACTAAAATTAATATTATGTGGTTAACACACTGATATTTTATAACCTAAAAAACTGTCACTAAAAATACTGTAATTTTATAACCTAACTTGAGCCACTGTAAAGCTGTGTTATTTTTAATAATATCAGCCCATTTAGAGTAAATTAAGGACATTTGACCGGCTGTGCTTACCTCTCTCCTCTCCTCCTCGATGACTTCACACGATGTCTACTATGAGCTGCTCGAAAATATCCCCACTGCTGGGCTAGAGCAGAAGTTCAAGCTGGTTGAGATCTTGCATGTCTTGTTTGTATTTTCTCTGTTGTGATTATATCCTGCTCAAGTAGTTGTCCCTTTGCCCACCTCTAAGCTGATATTGGGTTGTCATTGATGGAGACGGGTTCCAATAGTTTAAAGGAGTCAGTAAGTCCTTTTAGACCTTTCAAGGTCCTTTCATCTTTTAAGGAGACTGCTTGTTTCTCCTCCAAATAGGAAGTTTGTATTTTAAGTTTTCTCAAGGGCTTCTTTCATATTTTTATTTAAACCTGGTAGAATAACTGCTCTTCTTGTGTGAGACTCCATGTCGTATAAATCACATAATATTCTAAAGCTGTCACTTATCATATCAATGTTTTCTTTATCTTTTTCCTTAGTGAGATCTGACAGTACTATATTCAAATTTGAAATTACTAGGCCTATTTGGTTTTGGTTTCCACATAACTTTATATCTCTGGCTTTACCATTACTACTTAAAATAGCAGTAATTTCGTGGTTTAATTTTGGGGCATATAAGGGACAATTTACTATAAAAGGAATTTGTTCCACAATACCTCTTTTGATTCTTTATCTAAATCCTTGGTTATAAGAGACTGCCATAGTTCTTCTAAGTTAGAATTTATTTCTAAGGAATTTTTATTTATACAAGGTTCACCAATCAACCTAAGAATATCCATATCATTTTCTTGGGTATTGGTAGTTTGAACAGAATCCTGATCTTCCTCACCACTCGAATAAATAATATCTCTTTTTTGGTTCTGCAGTTGAACGAGATCAGTTGTAAAAAAAAAACATAAAAGTATCTCGTAAAAATATGCCCTAATTTGTAAAATTTTGGCAATGAAGTAAAATAAACTTCGAATTTTATGCCTCGCGTACCCCCTCGTGGCACCGTAAGACAATCATTAACATGTCATGCCTCGTGTACACCCTAGTTGCATCACAAGACAATTATTAATTTTTAGTGTCAAAATAGGTTGTCAAATTTTCAAAATATAGTAAAATGTATATAATGTATGTAAGTACAGGCTCCCTTCTTGTATCATACATAGTATTTTTATTACATTTTACGTTACTTTCTATTATGACGCTATCATGCATTAAATAAAAAATTGCTTTTGTTGGAATCATCTAAAACATTAACCAGCGTTTCAATGAGTTTCCTCTTTTTACTTATGTTAGTATTAACTAATAAATATCACTTGTATTATAGTAATATCACTTATAAAGTTACAAAAAATAATTTAAGTTGGAGAGTTTGAGTCGAAAAATTCACAATGACATGAAGCATACACTGCTGCCAATGGGAGCTCATACGGGTTGGGATACCGTAAAAAAATCTTATTTTTTACCATGGAAGGTTAAAATTCGTGTGTATCAGTCCATCAATTCATGACTACAAGTATACAAACACAGAGGAGGCGTCAACAAATTTAATATTAAATCAATAATATATAATATTAATAATAAATTTAATAATGCGAAGCTAACAGCGTTACGCACGCAGCAAGACTGAGACACGTGACACAATTATCAAAAAAAGGTAATATAACAATTTAACCATGTTTTTACTAATCAGGCTGGGAATCGAACCTGAATTCCGCGTGTAGAGTGGATATAAACAAAGTCTTCGATTGAAATACATCATAAAATAATAGTAACAAAAGCTTGAAGAAATATATACCGTAAAATAAATTTCAGTCACAATTAAAACTATATTTTATATGACAACTTACATTACTCTTATTTTCTTTCATTGGAGCAATGATTTAATCAACTAATAAACTTACGATTAGCACAAGTTCACTCAAACACTACTGATACAGCACCAATTCAATTATTCACTGTGGCTGTGACGGATTTTATTCTACAGGTCTACCTTCATTTCTTCTAACTTAACATTTTGTTGAAGTATATCATTGTTCTTTTCATTATTAAATTGGTCTTTAAAAGTCTTCTTTAAATATAAGTAAAATTGTAGTTTCTTCTTATATTCGTATTTTAAATTTTATTTGTCACATCCGGTATACATATACATAAAACATACATAAACCCTCACGCCTGTCACCCAGAGGGGTAGGCAAAGACTACAGACTTCCATTTGGCACGATCCTGACACACCTCTCTCGCCTCCTTCACATCCATACATCTACGCATACATGCTCGTCGGTTAAAGGTACTCCTAATTTGGCCCGTTTTCAATAAATCGCCAATTTGGTCGATAAATTTTCGCCTAGGACGTCCCTTTCCGACTCTGCCATTCACTTCTGCAACATAAATTTTCTTTGTCACTCTTTCCTCATTCATTCTTTCCACATGATCAAACCACCGAAGCATTCCTTTCTTAATCCTGGTCACAACATCATCTTGCAAACCACACTCTTCTCTTGTTACACAATTTCTTACCCTGTCGTTCAGATTCAGCCCTAACATACTCCTTAACGACTGCATTTCTACTGCGTTGATTCTACTCTCGTGCTTCTTCTGCGACACCCAACTTTCACTACCATACGTTAAAGTAGGGACCAGCACAGCATTGTGAATTGCTATACGTGCATTTTTGACACATTTTGACTCTTCACAATAGAGTGCAGGGCCCCATTTACTCTATTTCCCGCATTCACTCGTCGTTCTATATCCTTATCATATCTCCCATCCCTGCTAAATACGCAGCCCAAATATACAAACTCATCTACTTGCTCGATCAACTCCCCTTCTATTCTTATTTCACAAATCGTTTTACTTTCTTCTTTTTCAAAAACCATAACTTTCGTCTTACTTGCGTTCACTTTCATACCCC